TTCGCGACATTGTCAGGGAGAGGCATAATTTTTTATGGCACTTATGTTGATGGATTCGGACGACGGCCATCCTTGTCGATGATGAAGCCAAAAGACTTTACACACTTCATGCCGGTATTGCACTTTTCTGCTTTCAATTGGAACCCGTAGTCATTTACGCGGTAGGGAACTGCTTCCAGTCTCTCCATCAGATCTCGATGGGTAGACCCTTTGATTATGATGTCGTTGAACTGGTAAAGGCCTCGGTGCGTATTGATTGCCAGCAACTCCTTTGAAGCATCGTCGACTTCAATTTGAAGATATGCGTCTGATAAATCTAGCTTTGCAAGTAAGCGCCACCACTGAGCTTAGCAAATAAATCTTCTGGGACTGGCAAAGCATAATGGTACATTTTCAAATAAGCATTTAATCCCGTAGAGTAGTCAGCACAGATACGAACGGTTCCACTAGTCTTCTTGACGACAACAATAGGTGCTGCCCACGCTGAATAGTTCACAGGTTCGATGACGCCGGCCCGCTCCAAACGACCAAGTTCCGCATCAACAATCGGAAGCGCAGCGTATGGTACCGGTCTTTTGGGTCGGAATACCGCTTTTGCACCGTCTCTGAGCCTAAGGCTTGCTTTGGTCTTTGTGCATCTTCCCAAGTCGTTGCGAAACACAGACGGGAATTTTCTTCGTAACTGCTCAATCAGGTTGTTGTTTGGTTCGTCACTTTCCGAAGTGGACCTTGTATGTCCGAGCCGGAGGGTATTGCAGAGTTGACAGGGGCAATTTCGAACAGCTGGAACTTTTAGATCCAGTCGGGTCCAAGAAGATTCCAATGCGACAGCTCCGTACTATACACGATACCGTTTGCCCGAGCAGCGTCAAAAACCATTTCACACTACAGCTCACCAATGAGATTAAGTTGACCTGAAACCTTAAATGCGACATGTGTCGTTCGGCTAATTGGCGGAGCACCAATATACTGCCAAGTTTTGCTGGAGATAATTGTGATGTCCGAGGCTGTATCTAGCTGAAGACGCACTTGTTACCCGTTCAGGTGAAGTCTGATGCACTTTCTGCGAGCCACATGAACATCAGAGTAGGCCACTTGAACCATACTATAGCTGCTGCATCGTTTGGGAACACTCGTTTTCGGTTGTGAATGTTTAGCACGCTTGAACAGCAGTCTGGATCATCAATGCGTTTCCTTATGACCCCGTTTATGACACTTGTGGTAAACAGGTTTCAGGAATGGACATAATCGAACAAAATGCCACTCACCACATCTCCAACAGGCAGTCGGGGGCTTGGGATTCTCTCGGCTTTTCATGACCGATTTCACTTGGAAGCGGTTTCTTTGCAGTGGTTTCAATACACTATGACTTGGAGTTGACTGTTGCTTCTCCAGCATAAGCGTGTCATGCTTGAGGTTTAGCAACCGTTGGCATTCAGTAGTTATGGTCTGTTGAGCCATTTGCGGGTCTTGTTCAAGTTTATTCAGCAATCTGGTGCGAATCTCTGCATCCCTCTGTAGGCCACAAATAAAAATCAGGCGTTTGAACTTATCTGCCGTGATGGTTTTGATGTCGAATGTTTCGCACGCGATTGACGATACCAGCGTAACTAATGTAGTCATCAGCGTCCATCCTGGTTATCTTCAGACACTGATATCGTTTGTTGAAGATGGATGACTACTCCAAATATTTGGCCTAAGCATTTAAAAGTCTCATCAAAAGTGCAGTCTTGAGTGTTCCTGGGCAAAATAAAATTGACATACCTGGAGTGTTCTGCTGTTCCAACTTTCCTTAACAGTAATCGGACTTTCCAATCGTCATCATGGTCTTCAAGTTCAACGCGCAACAAATCTTCATGAGGCTTGAACCAGGATTTAAAGCTGAGGCCAGCATCAGGGTCGTACGAAATTAGGTAATGCTGTTAGTGATGGCGTCTGCCGATGCGGACGACTTGACGGTTGTAGACAGTGAACCGGCGTGAATTGAGAGTTGGCGCGTAAGAGTTTCGGTCAGCCTGAGTTGGGATGCCTCAAATTGTGCTGGTTGCTGCAGATGATATGGACATCATGATTAGGGTTCAGCCTGTTGCCAGCTGAAGTGTTCGTCCCTCACCTGAATTGACAATTGATCCTCAATCGAAACTCGAGGTCTCTGGCCCACCACAGGAGAGAGAAGACCGGATCGGACGAGCAGAGGAACAGGGATGTATTAGCCAACCACACCGTTCATTAGAGATAAAATCGTAAGTTCATGAATAGTATTTAAGGCTCACGTGGAAAACTGGAAGGGTCAACTTACGGCCAATCAGGGAATGTCACTCTCGTGTTAATCGACCGCTTCATCCGGTTTGCTATCTGTTCGCCCCCAATCAGTGCGGATGTGTTTGGATCGTCTGCCACGCCTTGGCTCCGTAACGGCGATGGGAGCCTAGGTTGTTCGCTTAGCGTATTCCTTTCTAAGAATCTCAAAGGGCGATTCTTTTGGCAACGCATTATCTTTAACCCCAGCATTCTTAGCTAGGATCGAACTGCTCTTTAGGCCAGCCATGTATCACTTGTCTCAATTGAGGTAGCTTGTCATCCATCCATGGCACCAGAAACCGACCAATTCTGCCTTGTGTGCTCGATTGGAGGGAACTTGCGAGATTGTTTTGACAGTTCCATCTCGACCATATTAAGTTCCTGACTCAACTCCCTATCCGTAGTGCCGTGGTTCAGCATTTTGTTTTTCTTTTCGTTTATAATATCCTATCAAACCGACTGGCTACCTTAACCGGACTCTCATCGTGTCCGTACGCACCCCCTCCACTCAACCCAATCCGTCAATCAGGTTAGCTAGCGAGTTTGCTGTTAGGTCAATTTTATTTGTTTATAATCTTACTACTTTTACGAGATAGTAGTAGACAGATAATTGAAGTCTGAAATTCACTGTCGAATCCAGACACGCTGGGCACTTATTCCTCCGAAACGCATCGGCGGTGGAATCCTGTCTATGCGGTGAGTGACAAAAACTACACTTACCATTACGAGCCAGACATAGAAACTACCGGCCCATGGTGAACACTGGTACCCAACATGCGGCTGATAAGTTTTATTACTTCACACCCCATCCTTTTGCCACCACCACAATCTCCTTCCAGGAACATGCTTGGCCTCAGAGCAGCATCTATTCCGATGCCGGATAGCACTACAAGCTATCCTACAACAAAACCAACGACCTTTCCCTATATTTGCTTCTGACTGGATCTGCTGCTATATTCCACTGAAATTGGGACTGACGACTGTCAAGCGTCGTGCACATCTTCGAAAAGCGTCAATGGACTTTGTGCGAAATCATCGAGGCATTAGTCTTATTTCCATTGTCTCCAAACTCCTTACGGTGTCATTCTTCTACTACTTACTGGTCCTCATGAGAGCCGAATCATTGAAAGCCAAGCTTTCCGTCTACTCGTGGTTGCGTCGATCACATATTTACTGGTATTAGAGCAGAGACGAGCATGGCGGTTTTCTTTGGCCTGAAGGCTGCCTTCAATTCTGTTGCTCGACCCAGCTTGTAAAACTGCATGTCCATGATGAGCGTGACAGGAAAACTCCTTTTTATTCTGGAGTCTCTCTACCGTGATTCCCGAGCTCTGCGCATCAAATGGGGTTCATTAGGGTTGTCCTGTACTTATGTGCCTGAAATCACCATAAATGGGCATGTTCTTTCAGTCTCTTCCGGACTGGAAGGTCTACCAGGTGACCGATTGATAAACCCTGAATATGCGGACGACATAGATTTCCTTGGGTCTTACACAGTGTCTTGGTAACTGTGCCACCTTCATTGGTCATATCACTGAATTGTTTACTTCGCGCATCATGAATACCCGTGTGGCTTTTCAGAGGCTCAATCACTTATGAAAACGGCGAGGCATCAACATGTCAGTGTGAGATAGGATGTATAACGTTGCGATAAGGCTGGTTTTATTGTATGCATCATAGACCTGCCCAGTTCACAGTGAAGATATTAGATACTCGGTCGTCTTTGATCACCGGTGTTTGCGAATTGTTGCTCACATCTGGTGTGAACACCGGGTGAGCAGTACCGGCTTTTGCAAGCAATCCTCTGATGCCTCACTCGTGTTCCCTAACAGTTAACCGTTTATGTTGGATAGGTCATGTCTTCCTTATTCCCGTGCATTATACGCCGCTGCTGCGGCAAGTTTGACGAGACCGTGAGGTGGTCAGTTGATGAAATGGCCTAAAGACATGAAGTAATTGTGAGCGAAAGGCTTGGTGAGACTGGTACGTGGTGTGTTCGTGAATGGGGACCTCAGTATGATCCACACCAGTGGTCTGATACTGTCGGACTTGGCGATGTCGCCCAGTCGGTGGCGCTTCTGCATTCGGTTTCTTGCAGCTAACTGTTAATATTCACTCCACACCGGTTAGTTTTACGCATTTCTTTCATGATTGTACTTTCTTTGTGTTACGTATGCGTTCAACCTCGTTTCTACCATTTTTACTTCTGTTATTCTGACTCTGGTGACGTGAGTCGTAGCAGCCCGATCCACCTTACTTCGGTACACGAACCATATTTGTTCAACTGAACTGAACTGAGCATACCCGTAGGTCTATTTGAGGCCACTACTAGATTGAAAATTTCATCCTTACTCTTTCCATGTTGAGTTCTTTGCCTAGCAGAATTGTTCACGCATGTGTACATCAGGCGTAACCGAGGAATATGGGTAGATACAATGGAAACAACGATTGAACGCTCCCGTATTTCTTCTCAGCAAATTGCTAGGAAGTGTAGATTAAAGCCACTTTATAACAACATCTGTGGTACGTGCAACTCAATACGTCTGACTTCGATTCGCTACGGTAACTTTCTCACCAGTCGACGGTGTGGGAGTGCACGTAATGTCTGTGCTTCGAGCAGGTCGCATGGCATTTAGCTTTTAGTAAATTGCTAGCTTATCTATTGAGAATAGCACTTAGCATTTTGTTATACATTTCAGATCGGCGAGGATGAAGCACGTCGCCGAGCAAAGCGTCGAGAACGAAATCGTGTAGCTGCCGCGCGATGCCGACAGAGGCGTCAGGATCAAATTGTGGAGCTACAGCACCGTGTTGGAATTCTTACGAAGACCGGAGAAGATCTACGCTCCACTCTTCACGCTCTCAGCAAAGAGCGCTGTCGGCTAGAGACACTTGTCCACGAACATGGGGTGAGTGACGACCTTATTACCACTTTGCTCTTTTTACTTTTACTATTATGCCTTCTTGGTTGGGACCGGAAGATGCAAACTTTTAGGTGTAGTGAAGTGATAACTCCACGTGTCCCTTGAGCTGTTTTCCTCCCCAATTTCTTTTAGCTTGCTGGATGTACCGAAGCTCAAGAGTTGCTCAAAAGTTTATCTTCACTCACCGATGCATCTGATTCGACAGGCGCTTGTGCAGATGACTCGGTAGACCCCAGGATATCTTCATCCTCTTACGTGAACCTGAATGAGATGGTATGCACGTCCATTTCTACCACACCCAGCCCGACTTCATCCAGTTTTTTAATGATCACCAACCGCGCAGGCACCAAACCGGATCCAGACGGAGCTTGCTCGGCCATAACCGACAGGCCGACCCTCACCAAACTGGACATAAGACGGGCATCGCAGTTAACATCCCTCCCTAACTCTGTGGCAACGAAACGACAGTCATGCGATTTGGAATCACTTTCCAATAGTAATGGCGACATTAGGGTAAAATCAGAGGCACCAGGCATGAACATCAGTGGACCCGGCCCTCCTGTGATCATCACAGATTTGCTGCCGAGATGTTCGCCTCCGCTGTCGGTATCCTCCACAAATGTATCGAAACTGGCTGCTAGACCTAGTACGCTCATTTTTCCTAAAGCTGCAACAGAATCATCCCAACTATTGACAGAACAGCCACCTACAACTACTGTTCCGGGAAGTAGTTTGCCAGATACTACAGCGAGCTCTTCAGCGGATACACCCCTACCCTGCTTCTGGCCATCAGATTTGCAAACCTTCTCACCCATCCTCACTCCATCCACATGGAAGTTGTTGAAGAACCTCACCTCGGGTTCTTGCAGCACACCACAATCGTTTATTCTAACGCCCAACTTTAATTCACTGTACCAAACTCTATCCATCAGTAATTTGAGCAGTCCAGCTACCGGCGGTATTTTTTCTTCTGGTACTGCGGGTAGTGTTCCGGACTCAAGGAGTTCGGTCAACAGCGTCCCCATGAACGCGGCACACAGTGCCGCTACGGAGATGGTTCCTGAACTGGGGAAAACTGTGGGTGAGGACACCGGCGTTTCAGGTGATGGTGTACAGTCCAGTTGCCAAGCAGTTCTACTATCATTTATGAACTGTGATAAAACAGAGAAGATGGAAGATGTGAACGCCTCGAACAATCATTGAACAGTATTGTTGGAACTTAGTCTTTCCACTCTTACCCTTTTGTACAAAGATGTAGCCTAGCAGTTGTGCCATTTTGCTTTTTCGACTGAACAGCGCGACACATTTTCTCACCAACTTCGTCTCTCAAATACAGTGTGGCAAGCCGATGGAACCATCCTTTTCTGGGGGAAGGATTCTTGACGAAACAGATACTTTTACCCGTCTTTGCATTAAGACTTCCCCCCCCCCCGATTTATCTACTTTCTAACAATCTTCATGCTTTCTTTTTGGGAGTCACCAGTCACATGAAAGTCTACATGTGTATTTAAAAATGGCATTTGCCGTTGTCTTTCCATTATAGTGAGCAAGCTCAGCATACTCTCACACTTCAGATTACTTCACTATTGTTACCCATTACTCATTCACTTGTCCATACTATAGTCCACTCCAACCAGGATCATATACTCACACTGTGCTTGCCGACTTAGACAGTCACTCGTCTGTATTGCTTTCAATCTCATTCATCTTCTTATTATGATACCCGGAGCCAGAGTGCACCTTCATCTACCTCAATCCCACTCGCCTACCTTTCGATGTAATCCACCACAACTCTTCCTCCAGGTTGTCTCATTCATTTCACTTGATCTGATCTGGCTGCATATTTCCTCCGACTGTGGTTTTTCGCAACTCAAAGTCGCCCATTTGTTAAATCATCCGCAATAATGTGTGGTCATGCAGCTTCCATTAGCGCTTGCTCATGCTACCTGTTTCCCCTCAATCACTCCTCCCCCATCACAGCTTGTGTGCTTATATTCCCTCGTGTGTGTTACTTCGTCGCCAGTCATATTGTCACTGTACACAAGTGCTTGGCGGCTATGCGCAGAAAATCGCGGGCCGTTTTACCGCCCCTCAATGCAGTCATCTGGCATGACCAGGCTTACGTCTTAGACATGATGGGCGAGATTTGTTTGTATGTTCGGATGCTCTCTCCGTTCTCACCTGTGATGATATATTTCCGACTCATTTACTATTTTCTTGCTATGCTGCTTCTCACTTGAAGATGTTCACAGCGTTTTCGTACTTCCTCAACTTCATTCGCATGGCTGTTACAGTGCTCCAGCCCTCTCTGAACACATGCCCTCCTCCCATGGTAGGGACTGTCTTCTTTCCAATATCCCCCACACACCTCGACGCTAGATGAATCGGTCCTGCACTCTTCACTTTCACTGACATGTTGTTTCTTCCATCTCTTCACACACATGCGAATCGAGAGTTTTCCGAATCTTTCATTCAGACTCCGTCGTCCCCGTCCTAGTCAAACCCAGTTTCGGCGGTCACTTAAAAAGACCACATGCAGTTTGCTGTCTGTTCTAATTTGGAATCTTCTTTCGTCTAGTTTTTTGTTTCTTTTTGTTTTTATCCCGGATGAGTTTGTTGTGACGATTCGTCAACACAGTTGTACAATTAGAACTGTTTTAGATTCGGACCACTTGTCTTTCTGAAAGCTATCTGCAATATATGCTTCCCGTCATGTTTGCGTGTACATGTGTCACGTATTTATACGCCCATGTATGTATATACACGTATATATGTATAGATACACACCTATATATGGTACACCGCCTCATCGAGTTTTGCTATTTCTTTTTGTCTCGTTTATTCGACCACTTTGCGATCCTCTGTCTGATTGACAGCTAGCGAGACTTCAGTCCATCTGCACTTCCGCCTATACCACTGCGACTCACAGACGTGCTTGAGCGTACGAAGAAGGTAGTCAATAGCTGGTCATTATTTCACTTGTTTAAATCCGTCAAGGAATTCACTCTTACCCATGGCTTTCAAATGCGCTGAATCTACTCAAACTTGTTTTCACCTTATCAATACACTATTCTTTTTTCATTGGTACCGACATCCAAGTTTCCTGGATGTTGCCCTTGGCTCCTATCATTTCGTTAACTAAGCCGTGTTACTTTGGAATATATTAACCATGCCCTCCTACCGGATTTAAATGTCATATAGGCCTAAGGATGGGGTACATGGGTGAGAGTTCTTATTTATATTTTTCTCATGAAATATGTCATTTATAGCTGCCCCATGTTGTATGCTTGCCTCTAATCTTCATTTCACACTACCGTCGATAGCGATCGTGCACAAGGAATTTATCACTCGCATGGATTAGGTAGACAGAGTCAGCTGGTGATGGAAAAAACCTTGATGTAATCTACCTTGATTTTTCGAAGGCATTCGATCGTCCAGATCATCGGATAATCCTTTATACGCTCTAGTATTACGGGATCTGTGACCCCACTTCTAAGCTGGATCGCCAACTCTCGACTTCAACGGCAACTAGTGGTCAGAGTTCGGATATCTTTATCTGACCCCATCCAAATCGAGTGGGATATGCCGCAAGGTTCAGTTCTAAGTTCACAATTCTTTTTGGAGTTTATTAATGATTTTGCACAGACAATCGCTTCAAACGTCCTACTGTTTGCTGGTGATATCAAGATTTGGCGCAGGATTCAGGTGAATGCCGATCAACATCTGCATCAGAGTGACCTAGACACGGTACATCGATGGTCAATCACCACTTTGCTACCTTTCAACGCAAGTAAATTCAAGGTACTCTCCATACGATACCAGATATACTCATAAAGGCTCGGAACGCAGGTACTATAGCAATCGTTCGTCGAACGTGCTCTGGGTGTGCTGGTTCAGAATGACTTAGGTTGCTCAAGGTAATCTAAAAAGTCCCCGAAAGCTGGTAACCAACACGTCGGACTGTTGCGACAGGCGCTAGGACAAATCGACATCTATATTTTTCGACAGATGCTCAGTGCGTATGTTCGCCCCCATGTCGAATAGGCCATTCAAGCTTGATATCCATGGCTGAAACACGACCTTAATGCACTGCCGCAGCCTCAACGTCAGACATCCAAGTGCGTCATTGGCATGTGCAATCTCCCATACGAGCAGAGGCTGAAACGATTGAGGGTATTCAGCGGACGATATCGCAGATTACGAGGCACTCCGATAATGACCCACTTGATCCTGCACGACCCACACCATGTATGTCGCTCCTTAATGCAACTCAACAGCCCTCTAAAGAGCACTGCTTTACAAGTCCCGTTGGGTACTTTGGTGAGGTTATCGAAAACGCTAATAAAATACGCAGTTAGTACTTTAAGTATGAACAGAGTGAATTATCATTTGTTTCTCTGTAGTTCTGTAATCCGCGTATTTTCACAGCACCCACTGGTCACAGTAAATAAACCCAAGGTGTATTCCAGGTGTAGGACGGAAACATAGTGCGAAGTAACAAAGTGTAAGTGGATGAGTGCGTCTTCCAACTGTCTTTCAAATATTGCCAGTGTCGGTACAGTGACCACCGATCCGGGGTGAGCGATCCACTGATGACATACACGTACAGAAAAGAAATTCGTATGGCACTTCAGACGGTTATACTGTTCTGCGAGTTTCAATGAGTGACCTCTCCGGTTTGTATAACTGCTGAGTTGCAGCAAAGAGTTGAAGGGCAGTACACTTGTGTGTTGACCACCGATGTACCGTGTCTAGGTCACTCTGATGCAGATGTTGATCGGCATTCACCTGAATCCTGCGCCAAATCTTGATATCACCAGCAAACAGTAGGACGTTTGAAGCGATTGTCTGTGCAAAATCATTAATAAACTCCAAAAAGAATTGTGAACTTAGAACTGAACCTTGCGGCATATCCCACTCGATTTGGATGGGGTCAGATAAAGATATCCGAACTCTGACCACTAGTTGCCGTTGAAGTCGAGAGTTGGCGATCCAGCTTAGAAGTGGGGTCACAGATCCCGTAATACTAGAGCGTATAAAGGATTATCCGATGATCTGGACGATCGAATGCCTTCGAAAAATCAAGGTAGATTACATCAAGGTTTTTTCCATCACCATCTGTCTCGGTCTACCTACTCCATGCGAGTGATAAATTCCTTGTGCACGATCGCTGTTGACGGAAGCCGTGCTGTTCGGGAGTAATTCTGCTGCAATTTTCCAGATAACAAGCCAGCATATGGACAACGGTGGATTCCTTGAGCATGGACAGTATAGGGAGAAGAGTTACTGGGCGGTAGTTTGAAGACTCAGTTCAGCTTTCGCCTTTGTGAATCGAGGTTATTATTCCAAGCTTCCACATGGCAGGAACCTGGTTCTGCTGTAAGCAGCTCTGGAAGAACTGAGCCAAATGTTCTGCCAGTTGCTCGTTAGACAGTTAACCAGACGACTCACCTTTTTTGATATGGTTTCACCCCAACCATCTTACAAGACTTGTCAAGCACCTGATTTGTTAACCGTGATTAATCATTGTTCATTGTCCAGTTTCTCATGCATATCCAAAGACTTGCTTGTCCCAGATCGTGTTTACATTCAGATGGACGAAGGAAACGGTTCATCTTCTTTTTCTTATCTCCACTTTTCATTATGTCGAGTCATGATGGTGCGGTGCCTATCTGAAATTGATAATAGGGTAAATCTGTACTTCCCTGGTCCACTTGATATCCTCGGCAAAGTTCCCTTCTCGTGGCCATACATACCACCTACTACTCGCGGAGAATGTGGGAGATTTGGGGTCACATTGTCTTTTGGCGCGGATACTTTAGTGTTTTGAACTCTGCTAATGCTAGCGTACCACGTTAAACGCTGCGCTACCAACCACCAAGTTCTTCCATCTAACAGAAAAGTAAGCCCCAACAATTTTGTACAATTTTAATTGCATACCTTATTACATTATCTATCTGTCTATCCCAGTACACCCGATCATTCTGGTATTCGCGCACTTATTTTTTGAATCAGCTTGCAGATAATTGCGATTTACAATCACGTTCGGAATCTTGCCAATAAGACAAACGGGTCTGGTTTGCACAACGCTCTATTCGTCTGGAACATCGGTCTGTTCGTTTCCGAAACGGACCAAGCGGCGCACTCAACTTGAACTAAGCTATGCACTTCGGTCACGGTTACACCGAGTAGTTGTATTCTTCACCAACACGATAACCTTGAGGCGAAGCACTTTCGATTTTGTAGTATAATACAGTATAATTGGGTATATCATACCTGCGTGTCTGATGAGCCTATTCCGAGATTCACTTTACTACGATGGCGTTTTGTTCGAATGAATCACAGCGTGAAACTGTGTGCATGTGGGGTTCAGGGTTATTAAACGGTGGCTGTAGTCGCACTGTCTATTGACTGCTTCTATGCACGTTTCGACCGACGGTAGTCCCGAAGTCACCAAGGGCACATTGTATCACCTGTTGGAAGGATCATTTTAAAACACACGTATGGTTGTTGATTTGCGATACGAAATCTCAATCAGGATCGCAATTCACTTTGTGGTGGGTCTTAGTCGCTCTGGTCACTGGGACTGCATCTGAAGCAAAACAATTTTAGGTAGGGTGCAGTGTTTCCGTTTCAGATACTGTCCAAGTGACCGAATTAGTTCAGATTTATTTTGAACGGAAACATGATCCGGGTTAAGGTAGCGTACAAGCTCAAGTTCAAGTGGGACAAGAACGATATAACAATTTCATACATATTTCACTGTGAAAGCGTCATCGACCCGGGGTGGGTTTCGGCGAATCGATTTGTCTTCTGAGAGTGTACGGTCAGCACGCGCGTATCACACCGCCGTCAACAAATCAATGCCCACGTGTCCTGCATCAGCAGTCTCTGCTGTGCCGGTCACGTGGAATAACAATAAAACAAAACGGAAGGGAAGGTAAAGGAAACTGAAATAAAAAGCAGAAAACCTAACCAAAAACACCCCAAATCAAGCTACGAAAATAGAGATGGAAAATTGTAATTAAGCTTAAAATGTGAAGGGGAAGAATCATAGCTGCAAACCGAGGGCATCATGTCAGTGTTCTAACCATTCAACCTTCAGTACTACTACCTCAGGCCGAGCGTACCAAGATTCCATCGCCCTACGCGATTATCGGACATCAGCCCCCCCATCAATCGGATCGAGGCTTATGCACTTTCCTTGGATGCTCACGAAGAATCGGAAAATGTGACATACGTCCGGACTGATATGACCCGATAGTGCGGAGGTAAAAGACCCAGCCTAAGCAATGTCGGAATATGGCACACGTCTTAGCCCACGCATCAGCTTGGTGCCAGTTATTCAAACCCGCTCCATTGCCATCTTGTCCCGCAGTAAGCAAGTGGGGCAGGCTTGGGCGCAGTATTCGGAGTGGAGTCTGGTGAAAGCGCATAAAGTTCAACAAGCACTTCATCCGTTAGGAAGTCATATGACTTGCGGATCATTCACAGCATTCTGAACCCCTTGTGAGCAGCGTTTCTTTAGTTTGCGCTCGATTTGAGCTTTGATGATAGCATGACACCTAAGTCGGCCTGTTCGGATAAGCGTGGTATTTCATTACCCCCTAAAAAATAAGGCGTCGATGGACCACTGTTCCTAAAACACGAACCTGCACATTTAGACTTACGTGTATTGGCCACAAAGTGGATCAAACCCGTAGCCTATCAAGCGCACGCTGCATAAACTGCGAGTTATCCGGGTCACTGACTGTACCCCGGAACTTAAGTTCATCTGCAAACATGAGAGAAGACACCCCCCATCTCCT